AGTATGGCACACTTGTTTAGTTAGCCAATTACATTATCAGGTGTGGTATAAGGCAAGGGTTTCGCACTGCTGGTTTTCTAGATACAAGTCGACCGCCAGTTCTCACCATACTACACAGTCACTGTTGTCCTCCATTAGGCTATGTGGCTTATATCTGTCTACATTTATATCTTCGGGGTTTTTAATAAGATTTTTATTTACTTCTAGAGAGAAGGGAAAGGAGGAAGAAAGAGAGGGAGAGAAACATCAGTGTGTGGTTGCCTCTCACACACCAACTAGGGACCTGGCCCACAACTCAGGCATGCACCCCAACTGGGAATCGTACCAGTGAGTGACCTTTCGGTCACAGGCTGGCACTCAGTCCACTGAGCTACACCAGCCAGGGCTGTCTTTGGTTGTTGTTGTTGTTGTTTCCCACAAGTCTTTACTACCCTGGACTTTTGCTCTGGGAAAAAAAGCCCATTCCTAGAGAACTTACAACATTTGTTCCTAGGAAACGGAGAAGCTTTTGCTCTGGAGTGGCAGGCATTGTTTCTAGGCAGCAGATCTCGTTACTGGAGTGCGCAGAATGTTCTGAGGGCCCTCAGCAAGGCCAGCTCCACCCTGCAGTGCGTGCGCCGCACATGGGCAGTGGCAGGTGTCCCAGCACCTTGCAGCCAGGATGCCAGTCCCTGCCCTCTCGCTGGGTCATGGAGAGCCTGGAGCTCACCCTCAGTACCCTTGGTCTCAGGAGCATTGGGTCCTATGGATGCCTTGGAAGGGTGACGACAGATGGGTGTCCGTAGGTTATCTTGCAGACTATTCAAAATGCCATCTCCTGTTCCTTGGTTTTTCAGCCTGAGGGATACTCTAGTAAGTTACATGGAAACTAAAGACTATGACACTCTGCCTGAAATGGAAGCTCAGTTCCCAGAAGAGATACTGCTCTCCAACTGTGTGTCCGTGTGGAAAATGGCGGTGGAGCTGAAACGGGGTCGACAGATGAGATAGAATTGCTTCCTCGGACTGTCTCCGCGTGAGGCTGGGGGCGAGAGGGCTCCCCGCTCTGCATCCAGTGCTGGGCACCCCCACGGCCTGGCATCTCTATGACTGCTGTCTCAGGAACACGTATGCATGCCCACATGGTCTCACCAGGGGATGAATTCCTATCCCTGAGTAGTGTGACCCCTGAGTAAACCGTACTCCTCATATCCCTGGGGGAGTGTGTAGGAACGTCCGTCTCAGGAATCCAGGCCTCTTTGCTGAAACATCCCTGCCACTAGGCCCCTCCCTCCTCAGACTACTGCACGGTCAGAGGGAACACGGGTTATCACTTTTTGCCTTTTTTATTTTCTAACATGTTCTGCACTCTGAGAAGAGAACCTGGCTTTCTTCTTTCTTCTGTCCTTTAAACAAATGTTTCTAGGTGTCCAGGGACACAAACAAGTGCCAGGCTCTGTGTCCTCTCATGAGCCAGGGCACCCCGTGAGTGACAAGTCCTGAAGCCAAACTGACCAGACCTCACCAGGCCCCATGACAAGCCACTGCCACATTTCAAGGGTCAGAGCACTGGGCTAAGAATCCTGGACACTTTTAGTCTTAGTTTCTCATTATCAAATGAAGGAACCAGATTGATGGTCACATTCCCTCCCAATTCTAGTATTTCAAAATTCTAAACGGAAGTTTGTCGGTGCAGACTTGGGTGAAAGGCACAGCCCTGACATTCTGGGGCAAGTGTCTGGCTGGCACCGTGATGAATAAACACGACCCCCATGTGACCCCGGTTTCCCCGAGTGTGTGAATATCTGGTGCTGCTCCAGGTCTCAGCCAGGATGTAAAAACGCACTCAGAGAGAACACACAGCCACTCAGGTCTCTGGGAAAGGAACAGGGGAACGCCTGGCCGGCCCCGACCTCTTGCCCGCCGTGCCATGGCAGTGTCGGATCTCTTCTCCACGACCGCCACATGGATGCAGCGAGACACAACTGTTCACAGCCAGGCAAAGGCCCTTCATGTACATTCTCAGTGAGTTAATGACTCCATCAGCCTGAAATCGGGTCCATGGGTGATGAGAGCCACACAGACAGCAAATGCGCACCAAGAACCCCGCGCACACCCTCAGCACCGGGCGGGAGCGCAGATAGCCCTGCCCCGCATCGCTGTTGCACATCCTGTCTGCGTGGTGAGGGGAAGCCAGAGATCCAGACCCAGTGCTCGTTCACCTAATACAGAATCCACCTGCTTTATCTAATCTGACTGTTCAGTCTTTCCAGACTACGTGAAGGCACACGCCCCACCCCCGACATCTGCATCCTCAACTGCCGTTTAATCAGGGGCAGGGGGTGGTTTGTTCAACTCCTCAACTTGCACTTGGAACTCCTTTGATACCTCAGCGTTGGGGTGGCGCCAGCCAGGCCATCGGGGCCACTCCGGTTCCTCACTGGGCCACGCCTGAGCAGAAGACCCTTTTGGGGGTGAAGGAGGAATGGGGGTTTTCTCCCCACTTTTATGAAGGTTTTTAAATTACAATGTTTTGTTTTATATGCTATGCCTTCAACGCCTTAACTCTCACTATCTACCATTATCTTGTTTGTACAAAACTATATGTGCCTGGCAGAGACAAACGCAAATCTTTATATTTGTTGTACTTGTTTAATAAACTTGAGTTTTGCTGCGAAAGGACCGTTTTCTGCGGGGGACACAGCATCTGTTCACGGCAGTCAGCCCTCAGCTGGCTTTGGGGAACAGCTTAGCTCACGGGTGGAAATGTTGGTGTAGAGGCATCAGTCAAGTGGGAGGTTCCAGACGGAAAATGTACGCTCTGGTTCAGAACGTGAGGGTGAATATTTCGTCTGGACAAAATGACCGTGGAGCTGAGGAGCCACAGAATTTAATGCTGCTCCCCTAACACAGTGGCCTCCACCTCAGAGGGGCATCCTGCACCCCCTGCCTGGGGGAGAGCAGCCTCTCAGCCAGCCGGGGTGGGGGGAGTTCCCAGGAGAAGGAAATGAGGAATGGGACAGGTAAACGTGAACTTCCGGTTGCCTTCTTTTGGGCGAGTGGTAGGACAGCACTTAAGGGAGAGGCTGAATCTTTCTCTTCCAAGAAGAAGAGGCTCCTCCCAGGGAGCAGCCTGCTGTCTGGAACTCCAGCCCGGAGAAGAGAGGCCACTCACCCACGAAGTCAGGCCGTGCTGCCAGCCCTACCCTGTTTCGTCCCCTGCTTGTCCCTGCCCCAGTCCTTCCCCTCCTGCTCACTGGTCCTGTCCCTGTCCTTCTGCATTGGTCTGGCATCTCCCAGCTGCACAGTCTTTCTGCTTTCAACCAGGCAGACAGTCTCGGGCTGGTGGGGACTTACCGGTGCATCTTCACCGCTGATCGCTGTCTCCGTAAGGCCTTACCTGGTCGCCCTGGCCGGCAGCTCAGCTGGTTGGAGCTCTGTCCCAGTACGCCGAAGCTGTAGCTTCGGTCCCCATCAGGGCACATAGAGTGAACCAGTGACAACAGACCGGTGTTTCTGTGAAGAAGAAAAAAATAATAACAAATTTAAAGCAGTTTTTAAAGAACTTACCTTATTTTGTGCACCCTAGGATTTCCTCCTTGTTAAGCGACAGTCGTGAGCGGTTTCTAGCCTCCCCGCCCCCCGCCGCGGGAGCTAGTTCAGCTCTCCCCCTGCTCGGCAATTCCGACCCGGGACCATCGCGCCGGGAGAACTACGGCGTGAGGACACGGCCAGGGGGGTAAAGCGCGCCGCGCCCCGACCCCGTGTGACCCGGGAGCTGCGGGGACACCCCGAGGCCTTGAGCACAAGGACAGCCCTGTCCTCTGCTCGCGACCCCGGCTCCACCTGGAGGAGCAAGCGCCCGGGGAGCGCGAGCGCTGGCGGGACTCGGCCTCGGCCCCGGCCCCGGCCCCGGCCCCGGCCCCGGCCCCGGCCCCGGCCCGCCGCCCGGGAGAGCGCCCGGAGGCCAGCCGAGGCCGAGCAGAGGGGACGCGCGTGGAGCCTCCACGCCCCGTAGCGACCTGCCTTCCGCCCGCCCCTTCCGTCGCACCTGAACTCGCTCGGGCGTGCACACCCCCGAGTGGGGGCTCCCCGTCGCCACCCCCTGCGCCCCGAACACCGCGCAGCGCCCCCCCCCCGCCGCCGACCCCCGGCACGGCGGCCCCCAGCGGCCACACCCGCGGGCTCCGAGCCCCCCGACGTGCCGCGCTGACGCCCCCCGGGGCGGCCCCCACAGACCCCGGCTCTGCCGCCTGCCGGCCCCGTGACCTGGCGCAAGCCCCCCGACCCCGTAGGCCTCCGCGCCGGCGGGCCGGCCACGGCCCCGCCAGCGGTCGCCTCCCGACCCCGGAGGCGCAACCCTCGCGCCTCCCCGTCGTTCCCGGACATCAGCCGTCAGGCCGCGCCCGCGCCCGCCCGCCAGCCGCGCCGCTCCGGCCACTCACCCCTCGGGCCGGCTCTCCCTCGAGGCGCCCGCGCCCTCGGGCAGCCCCGCCGGCCTCCGGCTCCCGGCCCCCTGGAACGGCGGTCCAGGCGCCGGGTGAGCGGCCGGGGCCCCGCGGCGGCCCGGAGCGGCCGGAGCCGGGGAACCGCGGGCGACGCGGCCGGGCCGCCTGAGGCGCTCGGGGCGGGCTTCGCGGCTTCTGCGGCCGCCTGTCTCGCCAGCCCCCCTCGGGTCCCGTCTCTGTCGCGTTTCCCCGCTGCGGTCACCTCTCCGGGTCTGCGCTCTCTGCGACGGTTCCGCGCCCGCGTGAAGACTCCGCCCCGAGCGCGTGTCTCCTCAGGGTCCGAGTCCGTGTGGCGGGCCGCCCGTCGGGGGCGCCCGCGCCGCCGGCCCGGCTCCCTCCGCGGCCGCGCGGACGGGTCCGCCCGTGTCCACCCGAGGGCGCGCAGGAGGCGAGACCGGGTCCCCGGCGGGGCCGCCGGCCACAAGGCGGCGGCGTCGCGGGAGCGCCACCACAGAGCAACGCCTCAGAGCGCCGCCCGACAGCCAGGACGGCTGGGCGCGTGCGCGCAGCGCCCCCGGAAGTGATGTAAGGGGGCGGGGCTACGCCATGGCCCGGGAGGCGGCTGCGCGGCCGCCGGAGGAGACCCTGGCCCTCTGGAAACGGTAATGAGGCCGGGAAACCGACCAAGACGCCGGGGCTGGAGCGGCGCGGCTCCCCGCGGCCCCACCCATGTGGGAGCCCCGGGTTTGGGGGCGGCGGGGTCCGGGCCCGCTTCCGGCGCGCGGGCGAAAGGGCCTTCGGGAGTTGTAGTGGGCGGGCGTCGCGGCGCTGGTTTCCCGCGCGCGTGTCGGGTCCCCGGGCAGGGGCCGGGCCTCTGGGGGCGGAGGGGAGACGCGAAGGGGCCCCCGACCCCCGGGCCTGGGCGTGCCTGCGGGCGGCCCGCTGGACGTGTGTGTCTGCCCCCAGGGAGCAAGCCCTGCTGAAGGCCCGCGTCGTGGACCGGGACACGGAGGCGTGGCAGCGGGATCCCGCCTTCTCCGGGCTGCACCGGGTCGGGGGCGTGGATGTGTCGTACGTGAAGGGCGACAGTGTCCGAGCCTGCGCCTCCCTGGTGGTGCTCAGCTACCCTGAGCTGGAGGTAACCCAGGGCGGGGGACTGGGGGGCGCCGGCCAGGGGCAGCCCCGCTCGGCTCCGTGTGCTTTAGTCGGGCAGGCGTGTCTCCGGGACAGGGTTCGAGGGCTTTTGTAGGGTTTCATTACGAGGCTGCGGAGTCTGCGAACGGGAAAACGAGGCATCCGGGGCTCCCCTCTCAGTGACCCGCCGTGAACAGTCAGTCCCAGGTCGTCCAAGCGGGAAACCTCCGTCTTCCGCAGACCCTTCACCTGGGGTTACGCTCCCCCTCCCTTTTTCCTGCCTCTGAAACATCGCTGGGGTCAGTCCCCTTGTCCGCGTCCCGGCGGCCCCTTCGCATGGTCACCCTTCCCGTGGGTGACAGGCAGAACCTTCCCTGGGTTCCAGCCTCCAGGATGGCCTTTGGGGGCGGGTCTCCTCTCGACGTCCCTGCTGCCGGCAGAGCTGTCCTCCCACGATGCCAGTGCGTGTGATCGTATCACCACGCAGCCCCCGTGGGACACTTCCTGTGAGTCCACTGTCAAGTCCGCGCTCACTGACCAGGCGTAAGGACCCTCCACAGTCTGCTTGAAGTAAGACCGGAGGTGTGGCTGTCACCCACTCCCCACACGGAGGACGCCGGGCCCCCCAGGCAGGCCCTACTGCCCCTCCCTTTGCCGGGACGTGTCCTGTCCCAGAACATTCTTCTCCCAGCCACCTCTCGGGTCTCCGGTAAGGCCCCCCTCACCCCCGCAAGACCACGCGTTGCTCCCAGCAGCCTCTCTCTTCTGTCCATCACACTGGAATGGGAACTCCGCGGCGGAAGGAACCGTGTGGTTCCGTGCAGCGCCGCGCTTCCTGCCTGGCGCGGAGAAGACCCAGAGTAGACACGTGAATGGAGGAGTGCGAGGGGTCCCTGGGGTCCCGGGGTTCTCGGGGCTCGTTTGCAGTCAGCCGCTCGGGAAGCCTGGACTGGAGACGAACTTGGCAAGGGAGCTGCCCTGCCCCTCCTCCCGCTCCCAAAGATGCCATCTTCCCACCTCAGTGCCTTCGCCCTTGACTCGGAGGCCCCTTACTTAATAAAAGTTCAGCAAAACCCTCGGGAGCACCTGCTCTGTGCTGAGCCTTGTGGAGGGGCCGGAATCTCTGCCCTCAGAGGGCCCCGGTCAGTCTGCGGGATGGTGCTGGTGGGGAGGGCGAGAAGCACGGAAACCCAGCCCCGAGTTGTGAGGAGCGAGTGAGGCCGTGCAGACGCAGCCATGCAGCGGGCGAGCGCCACCAGCTGTGGTGAGCCCGCAGTGACAACGCGACCACCGCCAGGGATCCTCAGGACCGCCCCTTGCTCCTCCAGACCCGGCTCGCGTGTCCCGCACGCAGCTCCGAGTCAGTCCCTCGCCGCAGAATTAGCCGCCCCTGGGCCTGCCCTCGGCCCTCCTGTCCGCAGGTGCCGTCACAGCTCTCCCCTCGGCGCGTTACAGATGCCGGCTCACGTGCTGCCTTCCCCACGGACCGTGGGTCCCCGGGGGCAGGGCCACACCGAGTCCCTGTGTAACCCTAGCAGCGAGCGAGGCGTCTCCCACGTGGCTGTGGCCAGCTCTCGTCGCTGTGCCCTGGGGAAGCCGAGACGAGGCGAGGGTCTTGGGCCAGTCTGGTCCCGCGTCTACCCCACGCCCAGCCGAGGGTCACTGCCGCGGGGCTGCCTGGCCCTGTGTTTGGAAACGCAGCCCCACAGGCAGATCCTTGGAGACAGACAGGGCGTGGTGGCCGAGAGCCCAGGCGCAGGGCGGATGGGGGGTGGGGTCCCCTGCTAATGAGTATAAGGTGCGTTTGGGGCCTCGGGGGAGTGCGCGTTCCCAGCCTGCCCGCCCAGCGGAGGTCGAGGGGCCCGGGCAGCGCCCCACGCTCTCTGCAGGCCCTTACGGCTCCCGTCGGGCAGGGCTCTGCGCCAGGACGACTCCCTCAGAAGTGCCTTCCCCGCCCACTCTGGGACGGCAGCTGCGCCTGCGGGAGCTCTGGCCGGTCCCCACGCAGCCGGGGGCCCTGCCCCCACCTGACCTCCTGGGGCTCCCGGCACGCCGCGTGGAATCTCCCCTTCCTCTGGGCTTCGTGGCAGTTGCAGCCTCAGAGCCTTCCTCTTAGAAAAAGGAACCTCCGCCCCTGGGGACCCCTGTTCTTCCAAGCCCCGAGGTCAGCCCCGTCTTCTGAATTATTTGGGACCTTGGAACATGCCTCCTCAAAGCCAGAGTTGTCTGTGTCGCTGTCACAGCCTCTCTGAGGACCTGGCCTCTTCTCCCCAAGGCCCGTTCTCTCGGGCTGCCCTCGCTCCCCTCGCAGTCCCTGCGGGGCCGCGCCCGGTGGTCTCGGCCCTGCCCTGGAGACCGCCCAGTCAGCCGGCAGGTCGGCTCCCCCGGCCCCTCTGCAGGGCAGCCACCTCGCCCTTCCTCGGGCTTTCCCCCCAGATAGGTGAGGTGGGAGGGGCACGCAGGGCGGGCCGGCAGACGGACAGGGAGCCGGCAGCGGAGAGGACCGGCGGCTGGAGGGCTGCGGGCGTGCGGGGAGACAGGCGGCCGGGGCTGTGTTCCACCTGTGACCCGCCCCGGCTGCTTGGCGGCAGGTGGTGTACGAGGACTGCCGCATGGTCAGCCTGACGGCCCCCTACCTGCCGGGCTTCCTGGCCTTCCGAGAGGTGCCCTTCCTGGTGGACGCCGTGCGGCGGCTGCGGGAGCAAGAGCCCGGCCTCCTGCCCCAGGCAGGTACCTGGGGGGGCCTGGGGGCTCCCAGGAGAAGGTGCTCCGCCCCGAGGACAGGCACTGGACTTTCTCAAAAGCCAGATTCAGTGGTGGCCCCACCTCTCCTGCTCCCGGAGGCCCCGCGCTGATGGGCAGCCTCGCCGACCACGCCTTTCTCTGTGGCTCTTCCAGGTCCTCCTCGTGGATGGAAATGGGGTGCTCCACCCCCGAGGTGACCCTGCTGCCCAGAGGCCGTGGGGGGGGGGCGCTGTGGGAAGGGGGCACCTCACAGGGCACCTGTGCCCCAGCCCAGCTGGGAGACCCGCACCCTGGGCCCTGGAACCTTGGCCCAGAGGAGCACTGGGGGGGCATGGGGGCTGTTTTGACCTCAGATAGCGGCCTGGGACTCTTCGGCCACACTGCCCTGGGAGCCTGTGGGTCCAGAGCCGGAGCTCGGACACACACCGCCCTGGCCGCCAGAGCGGGACCGGCGGGCTAGCCCTGAGCCAAGCCCCTGGTGCTGTGTTCCTGGCCGCCTGGCAGGAGCCCCATCATGTTGGGGGGGTGCAGGACAGAGACGCAGAGGTCTGACGGCAGCCCCACAGGGGAGAGGGAGATGGAAGGTTCCAGAAGTGAAGACAGGGACAAGGGAAGTGTTGTGAGCACGCTGAGTGGGCGGCTCCTGAGCTGTGGGCAGCGGGGGGACCCCCTCCGCCCAGCCAGGCACCCGTGATGTCGGGGTGGGGCCACGTCCACGGTCAGGTGGGGCTCGGCGTCCTGGCTCCTCGGCCCTCCGCCCGTGACGCGATTCCTGTCACCCGGGGAAGCTCAGCGAGGCCCTGGTCTGTCACCCAGCCCCACACCACCCCCCCAAACCCCACACCACCCTCCCCAAACCCCACACCACCCCAAGGCTGCTCGGTTCACTGCCCGCACCCCCGCCCCCGCCCGCAGGCTTCGGGGTTGCCTGCCACCTCGGTGTCCTTGCAGACCTGCCCTGCGTCGGGGTGGCCAAGAAGCTGCTCCAGGTGGACGGGCTGGAGAATGACGCCCTGCACCGGGGCAAGGTGAGGGGCCGGCCTAGCGGCGGCCGGTCAGTGTCCCTGTCCTGGATCCCAGGCCTGGAGTCCAGAAGACCCACTGTCTTCTGCACCCACCCCCCCCACCCCCCCGCACCGCCATGTGCCCTGGGGGCAGGGGGCTCCTTGCCCCGCCTCCCTGCCCCTGAGGTGTCCCTACAGGGGGACAGGACCAGGACATTCTGGGGGACCCCAGGCCCTGCTCTCAGGTGTCCTCTGGGCACCCCCCCGTGCCGGCCCCTGCCCTGGCACCAGGAGCAGGGCATGCCCGTAGGCAGAGCTGGTACCACTGCCAGGGCCCCAGCAGCGGGCTCGTCCGTCTCGTTGCCCTGGGGAGCCTGCGTCTGCCTGGAGCCATGTGTGGGGACTCCAGACCCGCTCAAGGGGGCCAGGCCCCACTCCGCCCCAAAGAGGCGTTGAATCAAAAGTGCCCGAAGGCGGGGAGAGCAGGGCAGGGGGTACCTGGCCTGGGGGCGGGCTCTGGCTCGCTCACCCAGACGAACAGGGCCTCCGACCCTCTGCCACCTCGGGCGTCGCCCCGCAGGGTGGTGCTGTGGGCGGCCCCTGGCCCCGGGCTGCACTCGCAGGGTGGGCCAGGGTGGGGGAGAGCCTCGCCTGCCTGGGCTGCGGCCCGCACGCAGGGCCGGGCCTCCCTCTTCGCACCCTGCGCTGCTCGGGCTGAACGTGAGCCGGCTCCCCCGAGGAAGGACGGAGTTCCAGCGTCGTCCGTCTTCCAGGTTCGCCTCCTGCGGGCTGGGGGAGACTCGTTTCCTCTGACGGGAGACTCCGGGGCCGTCCTGGGCGCGGTGAGTGGCCAGGGCCTGTGTCCCCCCGAGGCAGGCCCTTCCGCCCCGGGCAGCATCCACTGCCTGCCTGTCCGTGCCCACGGCACCGGGCCCCAGCTGTGCTTGCCGCCTCCCCCCACTCTGCCTGTCGGGGGCGTGCCTGGGCCCTCCTTTCCTCCCTCCCCTCCGCCCCCCCCCCCCCCGCACCCTGCAAGCTTCCTCCTGCCAGCCAGGACCACCGCTCAGCCCTGCAGCCCACAGAGCCTGCGCCCAGCGCCCTGACCTCACCCTCCCCGCCCCAGGCCCTGAGGAGCCACGAGGGCAGCACCAAGCCCCTGTACGTCTCCGTGGGCCACAGGGTGAGCCTGGAGGTGGCCGTGCGCCTGACCCGCAGCTGCTGCAGGTTCCGTGTCCCGGAGCCCGTGCGCCAGGTGGGCGGCCCCTTCCAGGGCGGGTTCTGCCTGTCTGGCCCCCTCGAGCCCTGTCCCCCCCGCCGCCCATGGCTGTGACCTTCCTCGGGGCCTGGGGCCTTCTGGCTGCTGCTGCGCGGGGCGGCCCCTAGGTGGCAGCCACAGCCTGCACAGCACGAGGCCTGCAGGCTGGCTTCTCAGGACCCTCCCTCCCTGGGTGTGCGCACTCTGCCCTCCACGCCCAGAGTGTGGGGTTCCCGGGCCCGTCACGCGTGTCCTGGCCGCAGGGGGCCTTCCCTCCGTTCCCTGTGCGACCGTGGGGGGCAAGACCCAAGAACTGCCTACTCCCCAAACCTTAGAGCCTGGGGCTCCCTCGTGCCAGTGCAGGGGCAGCTGTCTGTCCCCTCCGTGCCTCGCTTTCCCCAGAGAGGACAAGGACCCCGTCCTTGGTGGGGGGGGGCCTCTGGAGCACCCTAGGCACCTCAGGGGCAGGTGGGGCTGTGGGGCCGGCCCTGGAGAGAGCCCGCCAAGCCCTGGGCCTGCATTCCCGCCTTGGGACCCCCACCCTGGGAGCACCCCGCCTGTCAGCCCGCCCTCCTGACTGTGTCCTGCGGGAGGCTGAGAGCCCTCCGTCCACAGACCCGTGGGTCCCTGCGCCAGGCTGAGGGGAGGGCGGGGGCCGCCTCTTGCTCTCCCCACTTGGCCGCCCTGCTGTCTGCCCCGCCTGCTCACTTGCTGGCTGAAGCAGGGTCCCGGGGTGGCGGTGTGTCCCGTGGCCGTGCAGGCCCCAGCGTGGCAGGCGGCGTGTGGGCAAGCCTGGCGGCAGTGCCGTGGGAGGTCCCGCTCGGGCCCGGGCCCCGCCACCGGGTCAGCCCTGGCCTCAGCCACAGCCGGCGTGCCCCTTGTCACCCCAGGGACTCGGCGGAGCTTCTCCGTACTTCCCTGGGGACAGGGTCCCGGCCAGCCCTAGGCCGGGAGACGGGCAGGCGGTGCACAGAGTGAGGACGGACGAGCTCAGCTGGGCGGCCCCCGGACACAGGCTGAAGCCGCGCCTGCGCACCCCTGGGGCTGCTGCCCCTGGTCTGCAGCGCCCTCTGGGGGCTCTCTCGGCAGGGAGCCAGTGGCAGGGCAGGGCTCGCCCGGAGGCTGGCTCGGGGCCCCAGCCACCGCCCCTCACCCCAGCCGCCCCTCTCCTCAGGCCGACATCCGCTCCCGGGACCACCTCCGCAGGAGCCTGGGAGGCCCCGGGCCCCGGCAGGAGAGGTCAGTGTGGGGTGCGGGCGGCTGGGCAACTGGTTAGGAGCCCTCGGGCTCTGGAGTCTGATGCTTCTTCCCCTTGTCGATGTCTTACCAGCAGGAACCAGGAAGCACAGAGGCCAAAGGTGGGCCCCGAGCAAGACCCCGAAGAGCCCCCTGGTGAGGGCAGGCCCCCCGAGGCCCGCAGTCCGGGCCCCAGGACACACGCAGAAGCCCCCAGCCCAGGCGCCCAGGAGCAGTAGGGCCAGGGCTGGGGCCGAGCGGCGCTGGAGGCCCTGACGGCGCAGGCCGCCGGCCACCTGCTCTGGCCTCAGAACAGTTGCTGGCCCTGGGGCTCCTCCGTGGGGACGGCCCCGCAGCCACAGGTGGGGCGCTGGGACTCTGAGGCCCCAGAAGGCTGCGCACTGCCTCCTGCTCCAGGGCAGGGGGCGGGCGGGCGCTGCACACCCCCGACCCGGAAACCCCTGCACGGCCGTCCTGGCAGCTGCCCGGAGGGATTCGGTGGAGGGGCATTTGCTCTTCTGAAAGCGGCAGCGCTTGGCGCGGACACCCACGGCTCTGCCCCACCTCCCTCCTCGACTGTGCCTCTGAATGTTTCTGATTTTGCTTTTTTTTTTTGTCTTTAAACCAAGTCCTGCCCTGTGGCCACACTGAGCTGCTGCAGCCGGGACCTGGGAGGGTCCGGGTTGCGGCGGCCACTGTCGGGCCGGGCCCTCGGCTGCCCTGCCTGCCTTCCGGCTGCCGGGAGGACGGAGCACATCTCGGCCTGGAGAGGGCTGGGGGACACGCGGGGGCGGTCCGGTCGGCCGCCCACCACGGCCGACACCAGTGCCCAACGCACAAATCTTAGAGTGCCCTTGGTTAAGTGTATTTGTACACGTTGTATCCCCTTCCGTGCTATCATAAATGGAAATTGTGTTACTAATTGACTTTTTGGAGTGTTCACTGCCGCTGTGCTGAGACACAACTGGTTTCCGTGTCCCGTGCCCTGAACTGTGCTGCACTCATTACTCGAGTCCAACTGTGCGCGTCCTCCAGGGCTGTCTCTAAGGAGACCGTGTCACGTGCAAAGAGAGAGCGTCCTACTTCCTCCTTCCGGGCTGGGCATCTCGCGTGTCTCGGTCGCTCCTGATTGGCGGCCGCAGAGCGTCCAGTTCGGCGCAGGCGTGGAGGGAGGCCCGTCCTCGGCCGTCCTCGGCCCGCCTTCTCTCCCTGCAGCGTGGAGTCAGCCGGGGGCTTCTCAGGACGCCCCCCGCCGGGCGGGCACGTCCCCCTGCTCCTGGTCGCCGGGACTCTGTCACGACAGAGCGTTGAACGAGCCGAATACGCTTTCCGAGTCGGCGCAAATGGCCTTTGTCCACCGTTCATGTGCGTCCCTGCAGCTGATGGTCACGCTGGGAGCCACTCTGGCACTTCTGAAATCGGGCCCACTCGGTCCTGGCGCCCCTGTCCCGCGAGTCCCCTCTGCCGGGCCGGGGCGGTCTCAGCGCCGCGGGGGCGGGGGGGGGCGGGGGGGGGCGGGGGGCGTGGCCTGCGGCTGCCCTGCAAGGCCCGAATCTGGCTCTGACTCCATGGCGGTGCTGGCCCCTGCCGTAGGTGGAAAGTGTCCCTCCCCCTGCTCTCTGGGGGAGCCTGGGGACCCCTGCTGGCCCTTGCTGAAGGCTTGGGGGGAAGTCACCAGGGGGGCCGCCTGCCTGCGCTGTCCTGTTGGGGGCGGACATGATGACTGAGTCCGTCCCTTGTCACAGCTCCGTGCAGATGTCCTGCCCCCCCACACACACCATCAGCTGGTAGTTCGAGCGCCCCTAGGAATGTGTCCATTTCGTCCCGACTGTCCCGTGGTCGGCCGGCTGACGGTCGTGTGTGTCCCGTCCGTCCCCCCCGCGCCAGCGCCGTAATGGCGGCAGTGTCCCAGCCGCCACTCCTGGTCTCAGTGATCCCAGTTCTCTCTCCCGGTCAGTCTGGTTGTGGGCAGCTTCGAAGGAGCCCTCCCCTGCCCCCGAGGTGCCCAAGGTGGCTCAGTGGGGCTGGGCGGGCAGGTTCCCCCCAGGGTGCCCAGAGGGTCCGGCTCAACCCCATCTGCTGTCCCCAGGCCGGCAGGCCTGCGGGGGCGCAGGTCTCCCAGCCCCTCAGAAACCAGCGGGGGCCCCACTGAGTCCTCAGGGGAGCAGGCCCCGGGGGGCCCGTTGGAGGAGGGCAGGGGCAGCACAGAGCCCGGTGGGCAGGGGGGAGTTAAGCCTGGAGGGGAGGGGTCTGGACCCTACAGGGAATAGAGTTTGGGTTACAGCTTCAAGGAGGAGACCCTCTTCCCTGCTGTGGCCGCATCAAGGTCATGTCACAGATGAGACGGGGCAGGAGCAGGGCCAGGGTGGGGGTTCACGTGCACGAGGGGTAAGGGGTGCAGCAGTAGCGGGAAGGGGCCGGGGGGGGGTTTGGCCCTGCTCGCCGGGGACACCGGAGACATTCGCAGGACACCCAGAGAGCAGCGGGGACAGGCTTCGGGGTGGGGAGGGTCGTCTGCCCCCCGCCCCACTCCCCACCTCGCCCGGTGCCCGGGGCGTATGGGGCCTGAGTGGGTGGCGTCTCGGCTCCTTCCCCCAGAGCCTTAAAAATAGGGCCAAGATGACGCCCTTGTTCACGACCGCAGCCTGCCCAGGGCCGAGAATAAGCCCTGGGCCACTGAATAATTCAGGTCAGCCCAAACGGCGTCCCGTCGGCAGGCCTGCCCCTGGGCCCCTGGCCCGGGTCCCCACGCCGCCCGGGGCTGGGTCTGCCTGGCTTCTGCAGGCCATCCTAAGGTGTCTCAGGGACCCTAGCCTGCCCACTCTCGGCTCTTGGGACAGCCAGGAATGGGGGACCCCCGGGGCCGGGAGTCACCGAGGCCAGGGCCCCGGAGCAGGCCCCAGGACGGTCCACCATCCCAAAGACCCCTCGCCTGCTCACCCCTGCGGCCACGAACGGTGGCCCCTTGGAGCTCGGGTCTGAGCCCACCCCCCACTTGGGCCCAGTCCCTGCTGCACCCACCCCCACCCCCACCGCAGGGCCTGTTTTTCTGCCTCCTGGTAGGGTCCCCAAAGGAGCTTCACCTGGAGCTCCATGGGCTGGTGGGGACAGCTGGGGACAAGGGGCTGGGGCCCTTCCACTTGCTGGGGGTGGAAGTGGGGGTCCTCTCCGGCCTGGCCCACCCAGCTGAGGTCGGGCCCAGCCCCACAGCCGCTGCTGAGCGCACCCCGCCAGGCCCGGCGTGGAGTTCTGCTGGGTTATTAATGAAAGGCACAGGCGTGCGGCGGGGCTGACACCCAAATGAATGGCACGCTGGGTAATTAGACGAGGTGCCCTGGAAATGATGGAGCGAGGGCCGCTGTCCCCAGTTCACCTCCCCGAGAAGCAGGAAGAACTCGAAGTTTCCTGCCACCATGGCGGGTGCTGGAGTGGGGGGGGCGGGCAGTTCAGGGGGCCAGGGCACAGCTGTTGCTCTGGACAGGGCTGCACCCCTCCCTGTGCCTGGGCCCTCCCCACCCCCCAGGGGGAAGGGCGGGAGGGGGCAGGGGAGGTGGGCTCACGGGGGAGGGTGTGGTCGGAGGCAGGCGAGCAGGCCTAGAGCGACTCAGAGGCAAATGGGGCACAGCGGGGGGTGGGGAGACCCAGACCCCAGGACATGGGGTCCTGCCCGGGGAGAGGACACGGGCCCCGGGCCCCCCCGCCAGGTGGCAGGGGCCCGACAGAGAGCGGGGCGTGGGCAGCAGGCGGCAGTGGTTCTGTTACTGAAACATCACCTGTTCTTTATGAAACAGTTCCGCACAGCTGGCGATGAGAACCTCTGCCCTCCTGAATTTTGCCCCGTTTCAGGCAAAAATTTTACCTTTTCTGGTTTGTTTGGGGCCTTTTTCATATGCGTGTATTCTAAATAGCATGCTAATGTTACTGGGGGGGTTGAAATAATTTTTAAAATATTTTACTTTTAGGAAGATGGGAAGGGAGGGAGAAGGAGAGGGAGAGAAACATGGATAGGCAAGGAATACATCGATTGGCTGCCCCTCGCATGCCCCCTACTAGGGGCCTGGCCCGCACCCCGAGCCTGTGCCCTGACCGGGATTCGAACCAGGGACCTTTCGGCCCACATGCCAGCGCTCAATCCACCAAGCCACACCAGCCAGGGCTGCTACTGTTTTGTTTTTTAAATATACACGTTTAGAAATTACTCCTGCTGACAACTTGTTCTCTCCCGCGTCGCCCCGTCACACACACACACACACTCGTGCACTCACACACCCGCCTCCCACCCACCCCGTCCTTGGGGGTGGGCCAGGGTCAGCGCCTGCGCCGTCCTCGGCCTGCACACGCACTCTTCCCGGCTGAGGGCACGCAGTGACTGCGTCCCCTCTCGCGTGTGTGTGAGTGTGAGCGTCAGGTGTGATTTACTTTCTGCGCGCCGCAGACGCCGCAGCGGAGGTGCGGCCCTCCTTCTGGCAGGCTGAAGACAGCAGGCCATCTGCGAATGTACGCCTTCCGGCCCCCGCGGCCCACACCCGCCAGGCAGGCCCCTGTGCCCGAGGGAGGGGGCGGGGGCCACGGGGGGCGGAGTCCCCTCCGACCCTGGACCCGGGAGCACGTGGGACTGCGTCGCAAGGGGGCCGCTCTCGCTGGGCCTCTCACGCCCACGGTGAGGGAGGTCGGGGCCAGGTCGTGAGTGCTCCGTGAAGTCCGCGCGCCAAGGATCTGAGCCCACCTGCCCGTTGGCATGCAACGGAGCCGCCTCAGAATCGCATCATCCCGGCCCGGCCCAGCCTAGCCCGAGGTCACCCGCAGCCCTGCTGCCCGATGACCGTGACTGCAGCCCCCGCAGGAGCCCCCGAGCCAGAACCGGCTAGCCAGCCCGCCCTGGGAGTCTGCTCCTCAGGCTCCGTGAGGGAGCAGGTCTGTGTTCTGGGGTCGTCGTCACCCAGCAGCAGGTCGCTGCCGCAGACCACCGCTCCCGCGGCCCCCTGCCCCCGCCACCTGGGACGCCTGGCACATCCGTCCCCGGAGACTCTCCACCCCCCTCTCACTCCTGTGTTGAGTCCGCCCTCTCCTGGGTCCCATGCAGTCCTCTGCCTGGGCTGCTCCTTGTCTCGACGGTGCCGTCATCTGGTGGCTTCTGGAGAACGCGGATGGATACCACAGCTACCGCCCCAACCTCCTCCTGTCCCAGGGACGGTGGAGGGGGGCGGGGGAACCGGGGGACCTGGGAAAGTGACTGTGTCTTCAACTGCCGGAAGGGTTCTTGTTTCTAAGCCACGAGGGCGTACAGTGCGTTCCAGGGGTCTGTCAACAGCCTGGAGAGGAACCGCACTGCCCCGTGTATGACAGGAGAACCCTGGATGGGTGGGAGACCGCCTCCTGTCCTCGGGCCGGAGGCGGTCCCAGGAGAGGCGGCTGCTGTCCGTGGTGCTGAAGCCCGGGCCAGGCGTTCCCCGGGCCGGTCTGAGACGCTGGGAGGCCTGGGTTCTAGCTGCACCCCCTCCGCCCTGCCCCCCACCCTGGGCAGCTGTGGGGTCACCCTCCAGATCACCTCCCTCTGCCCTGGCCCGGCCCACTGTGCGGGCCTTGTCCTCCGCACCTGGCTGTCTTCCTGCCCAGGCACTCCTCCGTGGCTGGTTTTTTTCCATTTATTAATCTATTTTTTTTTAATTTCATTTACTTATTTTTAGAGAGAGAGGGGAAGGGAGGGAGAAAGAGAGGGAGAGAAACATCCGTGTGTGGCTGCCTCTCACGCACCCCGCACTGGGGACCTGGCCCGCAACCCAGGCAGGTGCCCTGACTGGGAATTGAACCGGCGACCCTTTGGTTCACAGGCCGTCCAGCACTCAGTCCACTGACCCACACCAGCCAGGGCACATTTATTCATCTGTTTTAATGGTATTAAACAAGCCGTGTGTGTGCCTTTGGC